AGTGAGGGTAAAGCTCTCATTTACAATGATGTCAAGCAGATGAAAATACCAGTTAAAAAAGAATTTAAAACATTTAAAACAAACAATTAATAAATAATGTAAACAGGATTTATTCCTAATGAAAAAAGCTTATGCCTTAATTTACCCACCAGATTAGATACAGGATTCTTTAAGGATAACTTCTGTGTCCAATGTCAATAAGGATAAATTGATGAAGTGATGACATTTTATATCCAGAAGGTCAAAGGTCAACTTCACTGTGTCATCATAATGGTCTGCAAAAACACTTTCAATTCAGCGCTGTAGAACAGGAAGAGGAGATTGTGGCCATATTTCCTGCAACAGGAGTCATACAACCACGTGGTGGTGATTCCAGTTTGAAGTTGTGTTTGTGTTATTGCACTCGTTGTGTTGTGTCTACCTGCAGATGGAGATTAGCTCTTGGCTAAATGTGGTGCAGTGCATCTCTTCTCTGTGCGTGAGATCAATGTTTTTGTACGTGGCCCCTGATAAATAAATGTAATAAACTAAACTAAATATGATCTTCTTCATCAAATAATTAGGCGTGCTGTTTTAGATTGCAATTAATTCGTTTGATTAATTATAATTTTTGTTCATGTTCAATGTGAAAACTATCGAGTCCAGCCAATAGTCTGTCCCTGCAGTGATGGAGGCTGGTTTCAGGACCTCGTTTTCAGGACTGTATTTCTTGGACTGTATATTGCAAAAACTGCCGTAAAGGTTTATTCCACCCAAATACTACTTTTTATCTAAGTGCTCATAGTTTTAAAGGTTAAATAAAAGGTAAAATAAAGATGGAAGAGAAAGGCAAGACACAAGGATGACTTTGGGGACAGATTGAAGATTATATACTGGATATAATTCTATGCAATAATAACATACAGTTCAATACAGTAACATGAGACACAGTGGGAGAGATTAATCCGTATCCATGAAATCATTAGATTTCCCCCAGAGATGAAAGATCAGGGTAACAGCTAATAAACGAATCAGTATAGTATATTCAGTTCAAGGTAATATAGTTATTAAGTATAAAAATGACTAACATTAATAATAATTTAATACGAATTCCCCACTGCTATGATTTAGTAGTTTAATGTTGCTAATATATAGATTATAAGCCGGTTGTGTATTATTATTAATAATAATATATAAAAATAGCTGTGGGTCTGACCCTGTTTCTTTTCTCTCTGCACATTGTTTTGTGTTAATTTAATCAAACACAGTTGTGCTGCATATAAGCATGATACTAAAATTAATACGGCTTTAGACCTGGATTTTAACCCACTCAGGGTCCCTCTACAAAGCAGGGCCCTCAGATTAGATAATAACGTTGAACCCCGTTCAGTGATGGATGGACCAATCAGCCGACTGTCCTTCATGACGCTCACATGCTGCCCTGGCTTTGATGAACTGGAGTTGCTGCCTGGAATGGAAATTAATTAAATGATACTGACATTTAAATGTCATTTAACTGACACACAAAAAAATGAGAGAGAGCGAGAAAAGAGAAAGTGGAGAGAGAGAGAGTGCAGACGGACAGAGGGGTGAAACCGAAGGTGGTCCATTATTCTTTGTAATTCAGTGTCATTCTCCGGTTTATCAGTGACACGTTTTACACTGCACCGTGAGAAGCAGGTCGACAGCTGTTTATTGAAAGCGTCCATGGCGGCTCCAACGCTTGTTAATGGTTGTTAATAAACGTCAAGTTGACCCACATCACACACAGGTCTGCCGTCTGAGAGTGGTGTAAGTGCTCATCTGTTTTCAGCGCTGCACACTGTAAATGGCCACAAACCTTAAACCCCACTTCCTGCACATTGAGCGTGGAGCCTTTGGGCCCTTGAGGATCTGCAGCCCTGTGTCACGGCTCAGAATAAACACGACCCAAATATACGACGCAGATAAAAAGTTCAAACAATTCACCTTTAATGAAGGAAACACAGGTGAGAGGAGGGACAGCGTCAGCTGGAAACAAACCGGCAGCATGGCTGGTGTGGGATGATAGACAGCCTGAGAACAGGTGGAGGTGGGCCAGTACTTATACCTGGGGGTAATCCACTGAAGCTCTACCTGAACTGATTGAAAACATCACAGAGAAAAGAAAATAACGAGAAACCGCCAGCAAACGTGAAGCATGCAAGATACATTAATCTCACTTTCTCTGGTGTTCCTGAAGCTGCAACCAGCAACCCCGAGATTAAAGACCTCCACCGGTCTCTGTGAACAACATAACCTTCCATCGAGTTCACCGACATCTAAAGGACGGAGACAGATTGTACAAAGTTTGATCATTTTCATCAGAGAGAACAAATCAAAAGGAAAAGGAAAGAACTAAAAGCTAACTTTGGTTTAAATGACCAGTTTCCTCAAAAAGCAAATGAGTACTGAGTGTACCTGCTGCTGGACAGATTGTACACTGATGCACACCTCCTTTCACAATACCACATTACTTTCCTAAAGTCACCATGGAAACAGGTGTCATTAGTATAACAATATGGCTGATGCTGGCACTGAGGCATAAAAACACAATTTCTGATTCAACAACTTAAATATAAATCTTCAAAAACAGAGATAAGTTACACTGATTGAGCTGATCAGCTGATCCAAAAACAAAGAGCAATAATTCCTGCCATGAAATCACTCAAAACCCACAAGAAATACATCAGATTTTTCACATATTTTACATTAAGTTAAACTCACTCCCCCCAATTTATTCCAAGCCAGAAGCAGACACTCTAGATGCACCACTGACATTAGATGAACTTTGAAAGCCCTACATCCGATGCCAAATAACAAGCCAGCCGGAGCAGACGCCCCCCCTGCTGACTTCTCTCAACACTTTTGGCGCTCGCCGTTTCCACTCAGGAAAACAAAATACAAGACACATTAGAAACTGACTGAAGAATCGAGACTAAAGCCCCGACCATCAGATCAGAAACAGTTCCAACTTTAGTTCACCCCACTCAGAGAAAAGACATGCTCCAGATAACGCTTGTAGAAAGGGGAGGGAGGGAGATGTGACTTCAAATCAATATCACGATTAATGAACGATTACCGATTACCTGGCGCTTATCGGTCTCTCTGTGTTTGAGCCGCAGCTTTGCTTTGAGTGAATGTGGATTGACGTTAGTTGGACGTTGGAGGCTCATGACTGTTTTAAGGGAAAAGTTCATCAACCGGCACATTGGACTGAATTGATCGACATGATCAAGATACGGTTTTGATACTTGTTGGGTTAATTGCCCGGTCCAACCTGTAAACTGTGTAAACTTACTCATCACACTTTGGCTTTTGGAGATTCGTTCATCAAAACCTTCACAAGTAAAAAGCTAATCGGTTTTCAACTGCTCCCATCCACAGCGCTTTGTTTTACACAACCACAGTTCGCTAACGTTAACGCTAACAGTGAGGAGGAGACCACTGGTTTTCATATCAGGAATGTTATTTAGTTTATTGTCATTTTACATTTGTTTCCATAGAGATATTATTGAGTTTATCGACAGTGACTCTGCTGCTGTCAACATTATTGTTGCTGCTCTACACTTTAAACTTTTATTTAATTGAATTCATTCTAAGCCTGTTTCTAAACTTTATTCTTTTAAAAAACACAATAACAACAACCAATAGGAGTATCAGTAAAGAACCGGATAAGCTGTACTGTATTGATGAGATAAGATAAATATAATATTATATATTATATTATATCAGAGAGCCCAGACTGGCTCACATACATTCACATCCAGCATGTGAAGATCAACCTGCTTCTTTTCCTTCAGAGGACAAATTGCAACTGTCAGAGTAAAAAATACCTCCACATGTCACACCATTAGATCAGTGGTTCAGATCTATTGATTCTTTAATCACACCATTCAACTGGAAAAATCAAACTATCCACTCGACGAAAAACCAACATCATCATCAGACCAACCCCATAGATTAGAGTTAGAGCAACTGCATTCAAAAACATTTCACTCACAGATTTACCTTTCCCCTAACTCAATGATCAAACACCCCCCCTGCAATAAAGACACTGTGATTTTCATTTAGAGAGACGTCTGAGGGAACGTCGTAAAGCTGAATCAGTTCAGGTGAATAGAGGCAGATTGTTGTTTTAGATGTCTGCATATGAAAAACCTCTTCAGGCATTTACATTAAATAAAGATAAAAGGAAAATCCTCCAGTATCTGTTATCAATCACAATTAATATAAATGGATGTGATGACTGCATGGCAATAACAATGACACAGTAAAAGATTAAAATTACAATATTAATAAAGAAAAATGTAGATTTAATTTGAGGGTGTTGCCAGCAGAGGGCGCCCTCTCATCCACAGGTCAGTGCTCTAATCATGTGCTTTATAAAAAGAGGGTTGGATATGTAATTTGTTCTGTAGTGCCAGAGGAATCCTGAATAAATAAGGTTTAACTAACTTATATAAACCTGCCTATCAGAGGTTTTTCTCACCAGTTCAGAGTCCAGAGATCCTTTAAAGCCGACCTCCTCTGTGAGGATGTAAACCTGTTATCTGTTCATCCTCCTCAGATGATGATCTGAGATCTGAAAAGGTATTTAGGTCTTAAAAGTGGTTTTTGAACACAGGTTACATAAGATTGAACATTTGTAACATCATTTCGATGAATATTAACTGAATATTTTTGAAACTTCTTTGAATGTAAAATAGACAGGTGATTATTTACAATAACGTGCACCGTTCTTACCAACTGATAAGGAAATCATAGGGAAATACTGAATGAAAACACATTGTAAGGACTGTACAGACACATGTTACTGCCTCTTCTCTTTCCTCACATCAGGATCTTATCACAGGGACAGTCAGTGAGGAAAATCAGGACAGTGTAGGTGGAATATTCATAACAAACCCACATCAGGAGTGAAAACATATCTCTGCTGTCTCCTGATGATACTGCAGGGGAAATTAGCCGACGCTGTGTTTACGTTTGTCTGTCTGTTGCAGGATGAGTTCCATCCGTTCATTGAGGCTCTGCTGCCCCAGGTCCGTGCCTTCGCCTACACATGGTTCAACCTCCAGGCCAGGAAAAGGAAGTACTTCAAAAAGCATGAGAAGAGGATGACTAAAGAAGAAGAGAGAGCGGTTAAAGACGAGCTGCTGGGGGAGAAGGCAGAGGTGGGATGGAGAAGTTGAGTGGTGGATAGAACAAATAAACTTCTAACTAATTTATTTTGTTTTACAAATCAAGAAGCTAAAATATGTTTTACAACATATTGATTTACTTTACATATTCCCAAATTACACTAACCCTTCATATGCTATTAGAACACATTGTTCGATACATTGATTGGCATCATTCTCTTAATAATGTCGCTCTGTTCCTAGGTGAAACAGAAGTGGGCCAGCCGCCTTTTGGCCAAGCTGAGAAAGGACATCCGACCTGAATGCAGAGAAGACTTTGTCCTGTCCGTCACCGGGAAGAAAGCAGCGTGTTGTGTCCTGTCGAACCCCGACCAGAAAGGCAAGATGAGACGCATAGACTGTCTTCGACAAGCTGACAAGGTAAAAATCATCCCGTCTAACGGTCCGTGTTCCCTTCCAGGAGTTCTGTTCCACAGTTTGCATCAGGAGGTCAGGATAGGAAGGAAATGATAACGATAATGAAGGACGGACGTAGGCGAAGGCAAATGAAGCTCAACTATGTAACCGATGTTTGATTGTTTGTTTGTTTTGCACGACAGATTATTAGGGTCACAACGAGGAGGAAGAAAAATCAGAAATGTAGAGAATAAAGTCGTAATTTTACAAGAAAACAGTCATAATGAGAAGAAAGTGGTCATTTTAGGTCACATGTTGTTTGGGGGGGTGGGGGGGGGCATCTGGAGCTTTAAAATGAGGAACGTGGAGCATCCTGTGAAGTTAGACTTTAGATCTCACTAATAAGGAGATACTTCATCTTTTAGCTCATCATCAGCATCATCAGCATCATCATCAGGACAGAGTCATTAGTGCAAATAAACCAGTTATGAACCAATTAAAAATAAACCAGCATTATTAGATCTTGGTCCAAGCATGCTGCATGCTGATTGGCTCACTGACACTGATGAGATTTGCTCATTTACTCCTTTTGAATTGAACGGCATTTTTCAATCCTTGAGAGCATCAAACCAATTTGGTTTATAGAAGTAATAATAACAACAACAATAATAATAAACTTTATTCGTATGGCACCTGTCATACAAGGAATGTAGCACATGAAAAGGAAAGACATAAAATGAACATAAAACATTGTTAAAATCATTGATCTAAAGTGTTAAACATTAAAAACATTAACGTAAAATGAGATAAAATAATGAATAAAACAATAAATCATGAAATAGAAAGACATTTAAAAGAAGTGCTGAGTATTGAAGTGATGAAGTTCGATACTCGGCGTCAAAGCCGTGAACTTTAAACATTTGTTGATGGTGATCAACGCCTGTTTTGATATTTAACTGTTGCCTTGACAACAGTCCCCTCTGAGTCTCCATCACATGTTGCTATGCAACTGAGGCGTCATGTAGTTGGATTAGTGATTAAGGACAGAAAAACATCTGGTTTCATACAGAAAAAACATCTGGTTTCATACAGATGAGGCTACAGAACAAGCTGATCTGATTCATATTTATTATTTAACATTACACACCGTGTTGTTATGTTTATTTTAGTTTGGTAGTTTATGTGGAAATTATTGTGTGTTAAAGAATTTAACTGATTACTGGTGAAACTAATTGTACCGACTCAGTCATGATAAAATAGTCAGATTGATTAGGGGAAGTTTTTTCTAATGCTTGGAACAGTTTTAAGTTTATGTTTTTTATATTTATATTTACCTCAGACGACAGCTACAAGTGTTTTACTGCAGTGTGGCTTAAAATATGAGCAGCGTGTCAGAGATAGGATTTTGTTCACAGTGTTCAAAGACCAAAAGTTTTTTTTAGTTTTTTTTTTTTATACATTTACAGTCAAACGTTGATGACATGAAACTGTTAAATGGAGGGAAGCGCTGGTGCAGCTTGTCCAGAGTCAGATTCACGCTGTTCAAGTCAACAGTGTTGTCTTCTCTCAGGTGTGGAGGCTGGACCTGGTGATGGTCATCCTGTTTAAAGGAATCCCATTGGAAAGCACAGATGGAGAGCGGCTTGTGAAGGGAGGCCAGTGCTCCAACCCGATCCTCTGCGTCCAGCCTCGACACATCTCAGTCTCCGTCAAAGAGCTCGACCTTTACCTCGCTTACTACGTACAGGAGAGAGGTATGTAACCAACACACACTTCACTGTTGCTCTGACAACTGATGGATCCTACTGTCGCCTTTACGCAACTTTTCTCTGCGAAGACACAACCTGACGTAGGTGTGCAGACCTGCGATAGGAGAGCTTTCTGTTTTTCTGTTGGTGTCAGGCTTTTAAAGCATTGGTCAGATAAATGTAACGGCGGGAACACACCGCCTGCGTTGCGTGTGAGCGCGGCGGCTGACGTCGCTGACCTGCTGCGGAGAATCATGTGTGTGTGTTCACACGGGTCTCTGCTGCTGCAGCTCCGTCTCTCTACATAGAGTTTACAGGTTACTGGAGTTGGATTTCTCTTCATTATAAATTAATTTCTGATTTATTTTTGACAGAAAACGTCACTAAAACGTCTCTGTCGCCACATGCAGCTGCTAAAATGGTTAAAAATACAGTATATTTATATTTTTTCATGTCTGTCAGATTCAGATTCAGCCTTGAAACTATAGTGGAAGTGTTTAGGAAAAGATCACGGTTTGGACTGAAACAGACAACGTTAACACATGACCTCACCTGCCTGTGAGGCAGGAAGAGGCGGGGCTACTGCAGGGCAGGTGGGAGTGGCAGGGCCTGAAATGACAGGAGAGTTTAATGATAGTGACAAAAGCAGGAGGAGAATGAATGAATGAACTGTAACAAGTCGTGTTTCTGAGTCGGTTTGATGAAAGTTTTATTGTTGTGATAAGGACGTGACACAGGTGAGGTGGTGACTAATGTTGGCAGCTGTTTCAGTTAACTAATAAATAAACGTTGGTGGCCCCTTCTCTTCTGCCTCGTAGCCAAGATGGCGACCGCTGAGTGTGAACCAGCCTCAGCGTCTGTCTTTAACTCATGTGTTCAGTCTTTTTGTCAGTCGTGGTTTTGAAATCAGGATTTTAGCAGCGGCTTGGAAGTGAACATATAATCTTCATTTACCAGGTTTCGCTGTTTCATACTTGGGTTGCGTTGTCTTGACAACAGAAACAGAAAAACATGTAAACGAGAACAGGTTTATTGGGGACTCGACTGAATTAAAATACTGTATGTTTGAGCACCGAGAGGAGAACAGCAAACAGATAAAGAAACCAGCTGATACGAGGCAGGTCCTGTCACATCAGGCTTTGACCTGTGGTCTTATTAATGGAGCCACCGAGTCCAAAAGCTTTTCTTCTGTAAGGAGCAGGAATAAACTCAGTAAATACCACGGCCGTCTGTGTTTCAGATTAAGAGATATTTTGGCCTGAAGAAGAAAGGAGAGATTCATTGTTTATGGAGATGAAGTGTGTGTGTGTGTGTGTGTGTGTGTGTGTGAGTGGGGGTGTGTGTGTGTGTGTGTGTGTGTGTGTGTGTGTGTGTGTGTGTGTGTGTGTGTGTGTGATTCACCGAAATCTGCTGATTGGACTGTGATATTACTTGTGTACAAGAAAACAAGACTAGCGCGGTGAAGTACAGACGCAGTGCGACTCCGTGCCGAGCCAATGGAGAGAGACGTACATTTGTGAGGATACAGAGCATCTATGAATCTACATAATCGTAGAGAGTGCAGAATGTAAATGATCCATTAGTTGTTAAGATATTTCATTCTGTCCCGACACTTCAGAGGAAAGTCACTGGGAAAGCAAAAACATTAGGATTTATCTGTGTGGGACCAGGAATCTCCCACCAAACTCTACAGTTGTTTGATGCATCTTGTCATGAACCAAAATAAGGAACAGCAGGGACGTTTAGTCTCGACCACGGGGCTTAACCAAAGGTCAGAAGGTCACATAGAGCCATCGTTATTCATATCAGATTTGAAAGAGTATGTCGAGAATATAACACGGCTTCGTTTTGTCACGGCAGATCTCAAAGGGCTGCGGATGTGTTTAAATCATCTTCAGAGCAGCTCCGAGTTCTTCCCTCTCATTGGCCGGTTGAAACCATTTGTATAAATACGTTTAATGGAGCCGCGAGTCGAGTCCAAAAACAACTGAAAGACAGCTCAGTGTTCACATCTGGTTTTTATATTGTGGCTTCAGGAGCTGGAAGAGGCTCGTTCAGCGACACAGTGAGGCGGCAGCTCGACGGGACAGATCAGCACCGACGACCAGCGACACCAGGACATAAACACAACATCACCTGACTGCAGAGTAAACACCAACTGCTGCTGAATTCATTTCTGTAACAAATAGGGTCATCTCCACTCCCAGTGTGCTCTCTGCCACCGGCTCACAGTGGTTTGGGGAGGGAGGGCGGGAGCGTGAGACACGAGACGTTCAGCTGCCACTCGGTCTTTTCGCAGTGACACCACCTCCTCCTCCTCCTCCTCCTCCTCCTCCTCCTCCTCCGATTCAGCTGACCTTGATCAAGATTGGATGCAGGATGCAACTTGCTAGAAAATCCGAGGGCGAAGGGCGAAGAGCTCGGTGTCCAGAACATTTTGTTTGTCTATTATTTTTCTCATTTTCTCATTATTATTTCACTACCGCCCTGTAGGTAGGAGGCTCTTCTTTCTGCGTCGGCACACGCTCCCTACACACTGTAGGAACTTCGCTTTTTTTTAATAATAGGTAACTATAAGACCATCATTACGCTGTGCATAACGAATGTATGGAGAAAAAAAAAGTGATTTAATTGTTGCTTCTTCCTGTCCTTATTGGTGTAACTTCGGAAAAGAACCCGAGTGGGCAGCTTGACGTCTCGTGTCTCACGCTCCTGCCTCCTTCCCCAAACACTGTGAGCGGTGGCAGAAGAGCACACTGGGAGTGGAGAACTGACCCTATTTGTTAGAATGAATTCAGACAGCAGTTTGGTTGTTTACTCTGCAGTCAGGTGATGTTGTGTTTATGTCGCTGGTGTGCTGGTCGTCGGTGCTGATCTGGTCCGTCGGAGCTGCCGCTCTCACTGTGTCGTGAACGAGCCTCTTCAGCTCCTGAAGCCACAATAATAAAAACCTAAAGATGTGAACACTGAGCTGTCTCTTTCAGTTTGTTTTTGGACTCGACTCGCGGCCGCCATTCAACGTATTTATACAAATGGTTTCAACGCCAATGAGAGGGAAGAAACTCGGAAGCTGCTCTGAAGATCGATTTAAACAGTCCGCAGCCTTTGAGAAATTCCTGCCGGTGACAAACCGTAAGTCCGTGAAGTTTATATGTCTCGCGAGACATAACTCTTTCAAATCTGATATGAATAAGGATGGCTCTATGCTGACCTAGCTGACTTTGGTTAGAGCCCGTGGTCGAGACTAGCAGATAGCCCTGCTGTAACCTTATTTGGGTTCATGACAAGCGATCAACACAACTGTAGAGTTTGGTTGGAGATTCCTGGTCCACAAGTTAATCCTAATCGTTTTTTGCTTTCCAGTGATTTTTCCTCTGAAGTGTCGGGGAAGAATGAAATATTTAACAACTAATCGGATCATTTAATTTCTGCACTCTCTAACGATTATGTGATTCATAGAATGCTACTGTATCCTACAAATTGTGTTCTCTCTCCATTGGCTGGGCACGGAGTGCAGACTGCGTCTGGTACTACTTCACCTGCGCTAGTCTTGTTTTCCTGTACACAGTAATATACCAGTCAATCAGCAGATTTCGGTGAACTCACATACACAGTCCACAATCAGCTCAATGCACACACACACACAACACACACACACACACACGTCACAGGATAGTAGTGAGCACCACACACACACAATTGTATAACACACACACACACAGCTCGTTTAACACACACACGAGGACACTGTCATCTCCATAAAACATGAAGGGTCTCTTCCTTCTCTTTCTTCAGGCCAAAATATCTTTAATCTGATAACACAGACGGCCAGTGGTATTTACTGGGAGTTGTTCCTGCTTTATGCCTTTATCAGAAGAATAAGCGTTTTGACTGCCGTTTGGCTGATTAATCAGACACAGGTCAATAAGCCTGATGATCGAGAATGCTCATATCAGCTGGTTTCTTTCTTTATCTGGTTGCTGCTCTCGCTCTGGTGCTATCTGCATATTTTAATTCAGTCGAGTCCCATAAACCTGTTCTCGTTTACATGTTTTTTTCTGTTTCTGTTGTCAAGAAACGCAACCCAAGTATGCAAACGCGCTGAAGTCCTGGTAAAGTGAAGATTTTATATAAGTGTGTCTCTTACTCAAGGCCGTGCTAAAATCGCTGATTTCACAACCACGACTGACAAAAAGGACTGAACACCATGAGTAAGACAGAACGCTGTGAGGCTGGTTCACTACTCAGCGGTCGCCATCTTGGCTACGAGGCAGGAGGAGAATGAATGAATGAACTGTAACAAGTCGTGTTTCTGAGTCGGTTTGATGAAAGTTTTATTGTTGTGAATAAGGACGTGACACAGGTGAGGTGGTGACTAATGTTGGCAGCTGTTTCAGTTAACTAATAAATAAACGTTGGTGGCCCCTTCTCTTCTGCCTCGTAGCCAAGATGGCGTACCGCTGAGTGTGAACCAGCCTCAGCGTCTGTCTTTAACTCATGTGTTCAGTCTTTTTTGTCAGTCGTGGTTTTGAAATCAGGATTTTAGCAGCGGCTTGGAAGTGAACATATAATCTTCATTTACCAGGTTTCGCTGTTTCATACTTGGGTTGCGTTGTCTTGACAACAGAAACAGAAAAACATGTAAACGAGAACAGGTTTATTGGGGACTCGACTGAATTAAAATACTGTATGTTTGAGCACGAGAGGGAGCAGCAGAAACAGATAAAGAAACCAGCTGATATGAGGCAGGTCCTGTCACATCAGGCTTTGACCTGTGGTCTTATTAATGGAGCCACGAGTCCAAAGCTTTTCTTCTGTAAGGAGCAGGAATAAACTCAGTAAATACCACGGCCGTCTGTGTTTCAGATTAAGAGATATTTTGGCCTGAAGAAGAAAGGAGAGATTCATTGTTTATGGAGATGAAGTGTGTGTGTTGTGTTGTGTGTGTGTGTGTGTGTGTGTGTGTGTGTGTGTGTGTGTGTGTGTGTGTGTGTGTGTGTGTGTGTGTGTGTGTGTGTGTGTGATTCACCGAAATCTGCTGATATGGACTGTGATATTACTTGTGTACAAGAAAACAAGACTAGCGCGGTGAAGTAAGACGCAGTGCGACTCCGTGCCGAGCCAATGGAGAGAGACGTACATTTGTGAGGATACAGAGCATTCTATGAATCTACATAATCGTAGAGAGTGCAGAATGTAAATGATCCATTAGTTGTTAAGATTATTTCATTCTGTCGACACTTCAGAGGAAAGTCACTGGGAAAGCAAAAACATTAGGATTTATCTGTGTGGGACCAGGACTCCCACAAACTCTACAGTTGTTTGATGCGTCTTGTCATGAACCAAAATAAGGAACAGCAGGGACGTTTAGTCTCGACCACGGGCTTAACCAAAGGTCAGAAGTCACATAGAGCCATCGTTATTCATATCAGATTTAGAAGAGATAGTCAGGAATATACGGCTGCTCGTTTTGTCACGGCAGATCTCAAGGGTGCGGATGTGTTTAAATCATCTTTCAGAGCAGCTCGGAGTTCTTCCCTCTCATTGGCCGGTTGAAACCATTTGTATAAATACGTTTAATGGAGCCGCGAGTCGAGTCCAAAAACAACTGAAAGACAGCTCAGTGTTCACATCTGGTTTTTATATTTGTGGTTCAGGAGCTGGAAGAGGCTCGTTCAGCGACGTGAGGCGGCAGCTAGCTCGAGACACAAAGTGCCACTGAGAACGATCAGCACCGACGACCAGCGACACAGACATACACAACATCACCTGACTGCAGAGTAAACACCAACTGCTGCTGAATTCATTTCTGTAACAAATAGGGTCATCTCCACTCCCAGTGTGCTTCTGCTGCACCGGCTCACAGTGGTTTGGGGAGGGAGGGCGGGAGCGTGAGACACGAGACGTTCAGCTGCCACTCGGTCTTTTCGCAGTGACACCACCTCCTCCTCCTCCTCCTCCTCCTCCCTCCTCGATTCAGCTGACCTTGATCAAGATTGGATGCAGGATGCAACTTGCTAGAAAATCCGAGGGCGAAGGGCGAAGAGCTCGGTGTCCAGAACATTTTGTTTGTCTATTATTTTTCTCATTTTTCATTATTATTTCACTACCGCCCTGTAGGTAGGAGGCTTCTTCTTTCTGCGTCGGCACACGCTCCCTACACACTGTAGGAACTTCGCTTTTTTTTAATAATAGGTAACTATAAGACCATCATTACGCTGTGCATAAGAATGTATGGAGAAAAAAAAAGTGATTTTAATTGTTGCTTCTTCCTGTCCTTATATTGTATCACTGGTTGCAGTGCGGCCAGAGGCCGTGGGTCGGACTCAAACCGGCAACGTCACAAACTTTCAAGGTGTCAATTGAAGGTTTAAGATATAGGTGTTGTGAGCTCATTGGAAGTAAAGAAGCACCTCCACCTTTCACCTCCAGCCACAGTCGTTTCAGAGGCATCACATAATGCTTCTTAGTTTCTCATGATACAGTTCTTCTTCTCTGGTTTTTCAGTTGTGCTGTCATTAACAACACAACATGTGAATGAAGTGAATCGACTCCTTGACCTGAAGGTAACACTGGAGACATTGTTGGACTGTGTGTCTTGCTCTATATCACTATTATGGGCTGGAAGTTATTTTTACCCCACATGCGTAGTTTGTGGATCCCAAAGACTTTTCCTTTATAAAACACAAACTGACAGTATTTACCATCCGACCGCCTCCCTGATTCTCTACAGGCAGAGCTACAGTCACTAACACGTCACCGGTTTCCTGCACAAAGCAGAGAGAGAGTGTCCTGCGTTCTTTTCCACCGAGGTTCAAGATTCGATTTCTGCTGATCGAATGGGAAAACGACGGAGTGACCTCGATCTGAAACCACCGAAGTCTTCTAGTTTACAAAGACCATTACTGCACTATGTGTGAACACGAGCTCTATCATCACTCTGTGTTTGTGTTTTCAGGGTGGAAACCAAGAAAGACTTGATGCTCGTCTCATGACATCACGTTTTCCTGCGTGGTTGAGTTAAGACTTGATGTTCATACCGGTGACTAGTTGCTGTTGCGGTTTTTGTTCTCGGCGCCGGCGTCTGTGCGTCCGTCGTACGTCCGTCCCGTTCTCGTGAACGCGATATCTCAGTAACGCCTCGACCGAGCTTCTTC